GAGGTCGTGGGTTCCATTGTGGGTTCGATCCCAACCCTGACGCCTGCTGTATATTCTTTGGTTCTTCCGGTAAAGTCACGTGGATAGAAAATAAAATAAAATAAATAAAAGCAAAAAAACACCCCACGACGTTTCCATCGCAACACAAGCGGTCTGATGAAGACCGCTAGTAACTAGTTTTGTACAGAACTTCAACATTATCAAAATCAATTGAGTGTCCATGTTGGCACGCGCGTTCTGCCACTGCCGACAGTTGTGTTTGGGAGTTTGTAATATTCTTCCTTTGGCGTTCTTTAAGCCACTTAGTTGAGCTATCATCTGTGGCCAGGTCGCTTCTGAAAGAGAGCCGTACAGCTCAGTGGGGGCTTTACCTAGTAGTGACATAAGACTCACTCACCTTCTCACCTACCCACTTACCTGTTCCACTCCTATTCCTCCCTGTGTCTATGCCTCTACGCTGAGCAACCAGTAATTGTTGAGCGATCGTCTGTGTTTAACTCACGGCGTTTCGGTTTAACAGGCAAACGCATGCAACCGGTAGGTGTGACCCTGAAAAATAACAAACTTTAATTTTGAGTGGTGACCTAATGCAACTATTATAATAGACTCTGTTTATTTTAAGGCCACGCTTTATTGACGAATGTGGAGTTTGGTGTTGTCAGTTGTGCTTGTACACCACTGTCAAGGCAGTATGACCAAATAATTTGTAAATGTTACTTGTGAGGGTATTGGACCCACAGTTACGAGTTTAATCCCTGACGATGGTTGACTTAGCACCGCCACCATCATCATCTTAGTTAACACTCATCGTCTTATCCGGGGTCGCCGATTCAATCTCCCAGCGTGGCAGTCGAACCAACAACGATGTAAGTTTCTGAAATCCCCCCCAACCCACCACCGCCACCCAGTAACGTGAATGGGTTCAACTACAGTCAGTGTATCGGTGGTAGAGGTTGCGTGTGGTGGGGTGAAGTTGTCAGCAAAGTGTGGGTACTCCCAGCTCTTCTGGCCGGCGTGGGAGAGTAGGTAAAACAAAAACACTACAGAACTCCCGATAGTAGGGGCTCTTCCGCCAGCAGTGCCTTAAAGCCGGCAATTGCAGGGCTGCGCCTTTAATAGTCATCGTCACCACCATTTCGTGGGTCTGCACAACTTGTGGGCGCGTCAACAGTGCACACGTTTTTTCAACTCATTGGTCACTGCCATAGGAATGTGTAATTTATGCCAGTGGGTATATGGCACCACCCACACACAACAACAACAGCAGCAGCAGCCATTCACCCCCAATAGGCGGTGACGTCACCACAGTGCTTTGTGCCAGGCTGTGTGCACTCTGAGGCCCAAATGAACGTCATGAAGCTCGCTTGACAATAAGTCACGGGACCAACCCAGGTGTCATGGGACAAGATTCATCGCCAACACCACAAAGACGACGACCACCCCGCATAACCTTTCTAAACAGACTGTGCTGTTCGTAAGCACCTTTAAAGGCCGACATGATACAAAGACAAAGATACCCCCCGCCGCCAGTATAGCCTGTGACTGTTGGGGCAAGTGCTGTTAGCGAGCACCCATGAAGGTCGGCACGGCACACAAGGGGGTGGGTGGCCAGCACCATGCCCGGCCACCTTTGTCTCCCTCGTAGCGATGTCTACACACCGCACCAGGTACTCATTTGAAGCCGAGTCGACCTAGGGGAGGCACAGGACCGGTTTAGATAATCGTCACCGGTGTTGGCCGCAAGTGGGAATCCATCCCGGGTGGCCGGATCCGTAGTGCAGCGTGCTAACCACTGCGCCACCACTCCCAACACGATGCCAGCACACTGAGACACGTACGGCCGCATGAACTGCACAAGGATTATAAACAGCATTGACGCATCCCATTTAATCACAACCCAAACAAGACGTACGCCTGAGCAAACTACTCACGTGGCATTGTCGCGAACGTGAGCCCACAATGCGCAGCAAGCCGGCTCCGGTTACTGCTCGCGTGAGACTCATCCCGATGTAGGAAACCTCTTGAAAACGAGTTCATAAAAGTTAGTTTATAATCCCCAATTGAGGGTTTTATTGGCCAAATATAATGTGTATGGCCGCATTGATTAACTCGCCAGATGGCCCACCAACACTCCCACAGCAGCCTATCACAAGCAACCTTTGACTGCAATGTACATGCATTTAAATGGACACCACACGCACGCACGCAAGTTCCTGTTGCGTGCTGTACGAAGCATCCTGCCGCGGGCGACCGGCTAGCACAGCGGCCTGACAACCGGGAGGAGGTCGCGGTGTCATCTCCCAGTGCGGGAGTGGAACTCACGGCCACGTCTCTTGAATCCCCTGCCCACATGTCCACCCGGCAGCGTAAATGAGCGATATAAATGGGCGCCTTGATCGGCAAGGCGCGCGTGGCGGGGCGAAGCGTGGGTAGTGCTCCCAAAAATACCCCTCTGGAGGTGTTTCTAGAGCTGCCTCGAGTGGAGGCGCTTCTTCCGGCAGCAGTGGCCCGAGCGAGACATGTGCCGCGGGGCTGCGCCTTTACCCCGTGTTGTGCTCGAGAAGTCTGCAATGCACAGGACGCAACACGCGCCTCGAGCTAAGCATAACCTACCTCCCTCCCTCCCAGCGCGGTATGCGATAGGCGCGCACACAGCGAATCGCGAGCGTCTGTGAACCATGACCGCAGCAAATATGCAAGCCCGTCGTCCTAATGCACTGGGCCCTTGCGTACACCTCGCTGCTCAACGTTGGAGCAACGTTGGCGTGTTTACTTGGGACTGTATAATCACATTTAGTAGCCGGACGCACGGTTAAAAAAAAAAACCACACCGTTCAAACTCGCACGCACACACACACACAGTGCAGATACGAGATACTGATGTTAACGCCTCTGACCTGGTCGCAATGCCAGCGAGTTGGACATGGGACGCACAAAACGACGAGAGGTTCGGTTTGCGCGATGCGGACTGCAGTTTGTCGGAACAAATTGAAAATAATGTCCGGGTGAGAAATGCCTGACATTCACACCGTCCGGGCAAGCGTCCTTCACGTGCCTCCCTCCTCCGCAGAGGCAGACCTTGAAACCGCTGATACCAAGTCAGGGGCAGGTCCACTCGGTACCGCTTCAGCCCACGTGTCCTCAATTGTCCCCTTCTCTCTCTCCATGCAATCCACTTGGCTCACACATCCCATCCTCGTAACCACAACAGCTCATATCTCTCTTGTATATACCACCCCTTACTATCCGGCCAAACTGGCATTCGCTTGGCCGTGCGGTGTGGCTTGGCGCTTGCGGGCTACGCTATCACACAAGGGATCTTTTATGAATCCTGAATGTTGCACACTGGCGTAGATGTCCCCTTTTAAAGGGGGTGGAGGGGTCCACGTTTCGCTGGCTTAAGAGAAGGGGCGCCACGGTGGATAGGAGATGTTAACTACCTCGCCTGGTACGCAGGAGGTCGTGGGCTCGATCCAGACCCTGACACATGCTGTTTATCTGGAGTTTGCGTGTCTCTCCCCCCGTGGTTGCGTGGATTTTTTCTCTCCAGGTCCTCCGGTTTTTCCTTCCGCATCTATAACCATGCGGTGTTGTGTATTTGGCTGCAATACATTTGCACGATGATCGAGCCCACTCGGTTGAGCGATCATTTGCGGTGATAGCCAAGTCGCTCCTGAATAAAGAGAGCCAGATAGCTCAGTGGGCCTTAAGCTGGTAAAATAAAAAATAAAGTATCTTATAATAGTTGTGTTTGTTAATAGGTGGAAGGGCATCACCGTGGCCCCATGAGCAGTGAAGGACTCCTCTGACTGTGTGGGTCATGGGGGCACGCGGGGCCGGTTACAGGAAGAGCCGCAGTATCGCCTTCTCAGTTACAATGACACACACACACATACACAAACACAGACACACACACACACACAGACACACAGATACACACAGACAGACAGACTGACACACACACATACACAAACACAGACACACACACATACCCACAAACACACAGACACACACAAACACACACAGATGCACACACACAGACACACACAAACACACAAATACACACACACAGACAAACACAGACACACACCTATAGACACACACAGACACACACACATCTATAGACACACATAGACAAAGACATCCCCGCCCAGCACTACGAAGATCCCCTGTCACCGCTGCCAGTCGGACGCGTGCCGCGTTGGCGAGCACATCATCAGCAGCATTATCATCAACATCATCAGCATCACCATCATCATCAGCATCACCATCATCATCAGCATCACCATCATCATCAGCATTATCATCAGCATTATCATCATCAGCAGCATTATCATCAGCATCATCATCAGCAGCATTATCATCAGCATCATCATCAGCGTTATCATCATCCGCAGCATCAGCATCATCATCAGCAGCAGCATCATCATCACCATCATCAGCAGCAGCATCACCATCAGCAGCATCATCATTACCATCAGCAGCATCATCATCAGCAGCATCATCACCATCATCAGCAGCAGCATCATCATCAGCAGCATCATCATCATCAGCATCACCACCATCATCATCATCATAAGCAGCAGCATCATCAGCATCACCATCAGCATCATCATCATCAGCATCACCACCATCATCATCATCATCACCATCATCATCATCACCATCATCATCAGCAGCAGCATTATCATCAGCATCATCATCATCAGCAGCATTACCATCATCATCAGCAGCATTATCATCAGCATCATCATCAGCAGCAGCATTATCATCATCCGCAGCATCAGCATCATCATCAGCATCATCATCATCACCATCAGCAGCATTATCATCATCACCATCATCATCATCACCACCACCATCATCATCAACATCATCATCATAAGCAGCAGCAGCATCATCATCAGCAACATCAGCATCAGCAGCATCATCAGCATCAACAACATCATCACCATCACCACCATCATCAGCATCATCACCATCACCACCGCCCCCCCCACCTGCGTTGTAGAATGCGTCCAGCACGTCCGCCTCCCCGAAGTCGAGGCTGCCGAAGGGGACCGCCTCCAGCCAGGCGCCCACCGCCTCGCAGGCCGCCGCGAGGCACAGCAGCCCCGGGGGGACCGACGCCGCCAGCGACAGCGACACCCCCTCGGGAGGGAACCCCGCGGCCCCCTCGCCTGCAGAGGCGGCAGACTCCCTCCTGTCGCCCACCCCCGTGGTGGTGGTGGAGGCCGCCGCCAGGAGCGAGGCGGCCGAGGGGGCCGAGGGGGCCGTGTCCACGTAGGCCACGCGGAGCTGGCGGCTCGGCCGCGAAGAAGAAGAAGGTGGTGCCGGGTTGTTGTGGTTGTCGTCCATCGCGCGACGTGACGACGACGACGTTTTAACGACGACGACGCAGTTGCTGTGGTGCTTGCTGTGGTTGCTGTTGTTGTTGATGTGGTTGTTATTGTTGCTGTTGTTGTTGCTGTGGTTGTTGGTGTTGCTGTTGTGGGTGTTGTTGTTGCTGTGGTTGGTGTTGCTGTGGTTGTTGCTGTTGTTGTTGCTGTGGTTGTTGCTGTTGTTGTTGCTGTTGTGGTTGTTGCTGTTGTGGTTGTTGCTGTGGTTGTTGCTGTTGTTGTTACTGTGGTTGTTGTTGCTGCTGTGGTTGTTGTGGTTGTTGCAGCGCCGCGCTATAATCGGTACAGTAACCCTCTTGCACAAGGCGGCTTTGACCACGACAAAGAAGCTCCCTTGGGAACGAGGAGCCACATGCCGCTGTGGTGGTTGTTGTTGCTGTGGTGGTTGTTGTTGTTGTGGTTGTTGTTGTGGTTGTTGTTGGTGGTGACGGAGTTACCTCCCGCTCAGGGTCCCGGCAGCTCGCAGTTGCCAGGCTGCGCCTCTAGCTCCCTGCAGCGGCTAAACGAGTTGACGAGTCGCCCTCGAGTTTAAACCTCGTCCACGGACATGTCCCTCTCTTCCTCTCCACCACAACAACCGCCGATTGTTTTCGTTTTAAACAAAAGCCGAGACAGAGACAGAGGAAGAGAGATCATCAACTCGCTCTCAGCAGCAGCAGCCATGCACAGGTGACGACGACTCGTGGCCACAGGTGCCACTTGGGGGGGGCCCAGGATTGCGACGTTTCGCTCAGAATCTCCAGCAGGCGAAGGAGCGACGATGTGACGATGTAAGATGCGTGGCACAGTGTCCAGGGTGGAAGACGACGCTTGTGTTGAGTCGAACACGGTACACACACCTCGGATTTGACGGCAAAGCAGAAAGTTCAAAGTACGAGAGGCATTCTCATCATCATCAGTGCCATCACCACCACCAACATCACCACCATCATCATCTTCATCATCCTCCCCATCGATGTTCCTCCTCGGCGTCTTACAATATTCACGGTTAACTCGTGCCCCATTGCATGCCTCTCTAGCCTGGACGGTCACTTTCAACGACGCCAACAACAATAACGCCAACAACAACGTGGACAATGCAGAACTACAACCGAATTAAAACGTTGACAAAACGGCGCAGCGCGCTCACTGCATTTGAACGTAGCTTGTTGGGTGGGTTCTCTGGATTGACACAAATGTACATCGCCGAGGAAGGAGGAGGAGCAGGAGGGATGATGATGATGATGGGAGCGAGAGGGGAGTGGGATAACTTTCGCGTGGCTCAATGCGGATGCGTTTTGACGGCCGTGCGAAGCGCGCGATTGGTGCGACGCTTCGTGACCCCCCCCCCCCTCCCACTCACATTGGGCTTGCTCGTGGCCACTCAGAGAGAGAGGGGAAGTTGGTGGGCCGTGGAGGGCGTGGTGGTGGTGGTGGGGAGCGGTGGTGGTGGGGAGCGGTGGTGGTGGTTGTGGGGAGCGGTGGTGGTGGTTGTGGTGGTGGTGGTGGGGAGCGGTGGTGGTGGTGGTGGGGAGCGGTGGTGGTGGTTGTGGTGGTGGGGAGCGGTGGTGGTGGGGAGCGCCAGCGGTGGTGGTGGTTGTGGTGGTGGTTGTGGGGAGCGGTGGTGGTGGTGGTGGGGAGCGGTGGTGGTGGTTGTGGTGGTGGGGAGCGGTGGTGGTGGGGAGCGCCAGCGGTGGTGGTGGTTGTGGTGGTGGTTGTGGGGAGCGGTGGTGGTGGTGGTGGGGAGCGTTGGTGGTGGCTGTGGTGGTGGTGGTGGGGAGCGGTGGTGGTGGTGGTGGGGAGCGGTGGTGGTGGTGGTGGGGAGCGGTGGTGGTTGTGGGGAGCGGTGGTGGTGGTTGTGGGGAGCGTTGGTGGTGGTGGTGGGGAGCGGTGGTGGTGGTGGTTGTGGGGGTGGTGGTTGTGGGGAGCGGTGGTGGTTGTGGGGAGCGGTGGTGATGGTGGTTAGCGCTACGCTGCGCTGATGAACCCGGCGACCCAAGTTCGATTCCCGCTCATGGTCAACACGGGTGACGATTATCTGAACCGGCCCTGGGCTTCCCCTAGGTCGACTCAGCCTCAAATGAGTGCATGGTGCGGTGTGTAAAAACATGGCCACTGGGGAGACAAAGGCGGCCGGGAGTGGTTCTGGCCACCCAACCGCTCGTGTACCGTGCCGGCCTTCATAGGTGCTCGCTAACAGCACTTGCCCCAACAGTTTGTTAAGGCTATACGGGGGACCTTTGTGTGTGTTTGGGTCCTGTGCCTCCCCTAGGTCGACTCAGCCTGAAATGTGGACCTAACAACAGCATTGGGTAGCCAAAGGCGGCCGGGTGTGATGTTGGCGATCTATAAAGGGGGGGGGGGGGTCAACATGATTAGCTTTGAGCGTCATCCAGCCGTGTGTGAGCCGGGGGTTGGTGGGTCACGTGGAGATGGAACTCGTGACCTGCTGGGCGGTGGTGGCCAGGTGTCAGCACCACGTGACGCTGGTGGACGGCACCACGTGACGTGTGGTGGACGGCACCAAACAACATTCCTCGCCGACACTGGCCTAGCCACAAACCGCGTCGGAACATTACAAGGTGTCCATGGCACAACATCGCATTCACACAGAGATACATAGAGACCCATAGAGATACATAGAGACCCATAGAGATACATAGACCCATAGAGTCCCATAGAGATACATATAGACCCATAGAGACCCAAAGAGATACATAGAGACCCATAGAGATACATAGAGACTCAGAGATACACAGAGACCCGTAGAGATACATATAGATACACAGAGACCCGTAGAGATACATAGAGACCCACTGACATTCATCGAGATGAATAGAGATACCCATAGACATGCTTTAAGGGGCCGTCCATAAATTACGTTACGCGATTTTGTCCAATTTTTGGTCCCCCCCTCTCGTCACACGGCATCACAAAGTCAGACCCCCCTCAAATATGACGTCAAAAAGCTCTGCCCCCCCCCCAAACCATATTACCATTTTGAAAATAAAACATGCTTCAAATCGCTTTAAACTATTGTCATTGTCGTGCGTATTTAATGTGGTGCTGCACTCTGATGTAGGAGAAAACATTTATTTGAAGATAAAAAGGAGGCGTTGGAAAGCTTAAATTTAGCATGAAATTCACTTGAAAATATTCAACGTCTAACTAAAACTGCTCAGAATATTGTATTGAAATGATCTCATAATTATAAAATATAAAAGGTAATTATAACTATAAAAAATACTTGAAACTTTGTAGTATAACGAAGCAAAATGGAGAGTGCAATTAGAACAATCACTTATTCATTTCACAGACTCAAAAGCCCTGGTAGAATCATTAGAATCAAAATGTGTAAAAACAGTAATAAAAAAAACATTTATGCTTCTCCATTCTCCCATGGAGAAGCAAAATGCTCCTTCATGGAATTAAGAAAAGGTGACCTTCGTAAACTTAAAGAATCAAATAGTTAATAATGAAAATGAATCAAAATTAGTGTTATAACAATTCTATTTAGTTAATATTTATTTAAAGTTGCGCATTTTGATGTGACGTCACATTTGTCAACCCCCCCCTCCCCCTCGTCACAAATGTCTGACCCCCCTCCCCCCCCCAGGTGCGTGACGTCATTTATGGACGGCCCCTAAAGTCAAGCCACAATCATAGTGCGACTGGGCCATGCAACCCACACTATGGACCATGCAGTAAACCCATAGAGATACATAGAGACCCATAGAGATACATAGAGACCCATAGAGATACATAGAGACCCATAGAGATACATAGAGACCCATAGAGATACATAGAGACCCATAGAGATACATAGAGCCCCATAGAGATACATAGAGACCCATAGAGATACATAGAGACCCATAGAGATACATAGAGATACATAGAGACCCATAGAGACACATAGAGATACAGAGACCCATAGAGATACATAGAGACCCATAGAGATACATAGAGACCCGTAGAGCTACATAGAGACCCATTGACACTCAGAGATACCCATAGAGATACTTTAAAGACAGGCCACAGTAGCAATCTATGGGTAATGTAAGTCTATGGGCAATGTTAGTCTATAGGCAATGTAAGTCTATGGGTAATGTAAGTCTATGGGCAATGTAAGTCTATGGGCAATGTTAGTCTATGGGCAATGTTAGTCTATGGGCAATGTTAGTCTTTGGGTAATGTAAGTCTATGGGTAATGTTAGTCTATGGGCAATGAAGTCTATGGGCAATGTTAGTCGTTGGGTAATGTAAGTCTATGGGTAATGTAAGTCGATGGGCAATGTTAGTCTATGGGCAATGTTAGTCTCTGGGCAATGTTAGTCTCTGGGCAATGTTAGTCAAAGTTCGGCATTTTTGATCAGCTGCACGGCCTCTCGAGAGAGTATGATTACAGCAGCAAGGAAAAAATATATACAGTATATAAGATAGGCGACGTTTCAGGCAATTATTCTTCCGCAAATATTTAATATGAGCAGAAGACGTTTCGGGCAACAGCCCTTCTTCATAGCAATGATGTGCTATAAAGAAGGGCCATTGCCCGAAACGTCACCTGTTATAAATGTATTTCATTTTGCCACTTGGCGTATGTGAACCATTGTGTGTTTGTTGTATGTGCTGAGAGTTTTGGGTCTTGCATAATACTACAATACCGCCGCTAGATGGCAGGCGGGCACCTTGTGTGAATGTGTGTCACCGACTTGCCGACTGAGCTGGCCCGGCTGAGTGCCGGAGGTTCTCATACAAGGCGTGGAAGCCCACGCATGGCTAAACTCATGTGGCTACACTGATGTGGCCAAACTGATGTGGCTACACTGATGTGGCTAAACTGATGTGGCTGAACTGATGTGGCTACACTGATGTGGCTACACTGATGTGGCTAAACTGATGTGGCTGAACTGATGTGACTACACTGATGTGGCTACACTGATGTGGCTACACTGATGTGACTACACTGATGTGGCTACACTGATGTGGCTACACTGATGTGGCTACACTGATGTGGCTACACTGATGTGGCTACACTGATGTGGCTACACTGATGTGGCTAAACTGATGTGGCTAAACTGATGTGGCTACACTGATGTGGCTACACTGATGTGACTACACTGATGTGGCTACACTGATGTGGCTACACTGATGTGGCTACACTGATGTGGCTACACTGATGTGGCTACACTGATGTGGCTACACTGATGTGGCTACACTGATGTGGCTAAACTGATGTGGCTACACTGATGTGGCTACACTGATGTGACTACACTGATGTGGCTGAACTGATGTGGCTAAACTGATGTGGCTACACTGATGTGGCTACACTGATGTGACTACACTGATGTGGCTGAACTGATGTGGCTAAACTGATGTGGCTACACTGATGTGGCTACACTGATGTGGCTACACTGATGTGGCTACACTGATGTGGCTAAACTGATGTGGCTACACTGATGTGGCTACACTTGATGTGGCTACACTGATGTGGCTACACTGATGTGGCTACACTGATGTGGCTACACTGATGTGGCTACACTGATGTGGCTAAACTGATGTGGCTAAACTGATGTGACTAAACTGATGTGACTACACTGATGTGGCTACACTGATGTGGCTACACTGATGTGGCTACACTGATGTGACTAAACTGATGTGACTACACTGATGTGGCTAAACTGATGTGGTTACACTGATGTGGCTACACTGATGTGGCTACACTGATGTGGCTAAACTGATGTGGCTACACTGATGTGACTACACTGATGTGGCTACACTGATGTGACTACACTGATGTGGCCAAACTGATGTGGCTAAACTGATGTGGCTACACTGATGTGGCTAAACTGATGTGACTAAACTGATGTGGCTAAACTGATGTGGTTACACTGATGTGGCTACACTGATGTGGCTACACTGATGTGACTACACTGATGTGGCCAAACTGATGTGGCTAAACTGATGTGGCTACACTGATGTGGCTACACTGATGTGACTACACTGATGTGGCCAAACTGATGTGGCTACACTGATGTGACTACACTGATGTGGCCAAACTGATGTGGCTACACTGATGTGGCTACACTGATGTGGCTAAACTGATGTGGCTACACTGATGTGGCTACACTGATGCGGCTACACTGATGTGGCTACACTGATGTGGCTACACTGATGTGGCTACACTGATGCGGCTACACTGATGTTGCTACACTGATGTGGCTACACTGATGTGACTACACTGATGTGGCTACACTGATGTGACTACACTGATGTGGCTACACTGATGCGGCTACACTGA